TATGTATGTGCGTGTGTGTTCGCACTTTTTTCCACCCCCTCTCAGCACGAGAACCAGAAAAGTTAGAAGGCTGAAACTTTGGGAGTATGTATCCACACATGCTCGACTCGCCCGTTTTCATATCATCGCCCGCTTATGCTTGGATGCCTCGTACGGATGCCATAAAAAAATATGCAAAATTTTTGGCTGAAAAGCGGTCTCGGGAACTAGATAAGGTAAGGAACTGAAACTTTGCAGGGATACTCCATGTGCATGTGTGAGCTAAAATTTCAAATTCAGCCTCCAAGTATGCGTGGTACTCACGTAAGGGCGCATGAAAGTTTTGGCGTGAAAATTACTAACTCGGTGACTAGAAAAGCTAGGAAACTTGGGAGAATGTTCCCTGTCCAAGTACAACTTTAATATTTCAAATTCAGCCTTCAAGTATGCGTGGTTCTCACGTATAGGTACGTGGAAAATTCGACGGGAAAATTGCTAACTCGGTAACTAGAAAAGCCGGAAGGCTGAAATTTCAGGGTGATGTTCCCTGTCCACGTGCAATTTAAAGATTTCAAATTCAGCTTCTCAAGTGCCTGTGTTACTCACGTACGGGCACGTGAAGGTTTTGGCGGGAAAATTACTAACTCGGGAACCAGAAAAGCTAGAAAGCTAAAATTTTGGGGGACGTTCCTTGTTCAAATACAAGATAAACGTTCCAACTTCAGCCTCTAGGTGTGCGTGATTCTCACGTACGGGCAATTAAAAGTTTTGGCGGAAAAATTGCTCGCTAAACAGTTAGGTACTTTCAAGGAACGACCGTTAAGTGGAAATTGTTCATTTACTTTACGGAAAATTTTTGGTGATTTATGTTAGTGGCCACAAAAGGTCAGTGTAAAGCAAAAACCTTTCATGCAATTAATGACCTGAGTACTTCAAGTCTGGTGCAAAAAAGTATGATCGCATGGGCCCACCCGGTGTGTTCCAGCCTGGTTTGTTATGCATTTTTGCCGTGCTGCGCTACAGCCCCTGCAGCAGGCAGCGAAAGCGCATACTGCGACAACGCTGCTTGTGTATATGTGTGTGTATGTTTGTATGTATGTGTATGTTCGGGTATTTCGACTCGCCAACCATGGAAGCTTTGATGCCGAAATTTTGCCAGCGTGTTCACTGGCAAAATGCGATCCCAGGGGACGTGATATCAACTGCCACGTATGTCTACATCTCAAGTATGGCCACGTGAAAACTTTGACAGGAAAATCGCTATTCTCGGAAACGAGAAAGGCCAGAAAGCTGAAAATTTAGGGGAATAGTCTCTACTCACGTACGACCAGAAAATTTTAAACTCAGTTCCTTAGAACTGCCTAGGACTCACATACGGGCACGCGAAAATTTTGGTAGGAAAATCGCTAACTTGGGAGCGAGAAAAGCTGGAAGGTTAGAATTTTAAGGGAATGTTTCCAACTCACTTTCGGCCAAAAAATTTCAAACTGAGCTATTTCGAACCGCCCGAGCCTCACGTATGAGCACGTGAAAGTTTTGGCGGGGAAATTGCTAACCTTGGAAAGAGGGAAGCTAAGAAGTTGCAACTTAGGGGGGATGTTCGCTACTCATATACAGCCAAAGGCTTCAAGTTCAACTTCTTAGAACCGTCAGTGCCATACGTACAGGGACGTGAAAGTTTCTGTGGAAAAACTGCTAATTCCGGAACGAGAAAAGCTGAAATGTCGGAATTTTAGGGGGATGTTCGCTACTTGTGCGCGACTAAAAGATTTCAAATTCAGCTCTCTTAGTGGGTTCTTTTTCGCGCACCAGCAATTTCCCATTTGTCGGTCATCGAAATCGACATCTGTAACTGACATGCCACCCAGCCGCACAACTAACTTTCTGAACTTCGAAGGTCAGTATGTCACAGGGTTAGCTACTGTGATTCTTTGGGATCTTGCGACAGCACGAAATAGTGCAAAAATGCATGACCGCACCTGACCGTCCGGTGCGTTCCAGCCTGGATTTGCTTTTGCTTTCTTTAGTTTTCATTCACAGGTTCCGGTTCTTTGCTTCCGCCTTTCTTTGTTTTTTACATACGTTCAGGTTTTCTTTAATTTGCTTTTCTTCGTACTGCTGTGTTGCCTCTTCCTCTTTACTGCAGTCACCAGTTCTCGCTTTAAACTCCTAACTGGTACTCCTGTTCCCCTCCTCTATCTTGCCTCCAGAGTGGCATCTGGGCACCCATCACCCACCAACCCCAACCACAGTCACCATTTATCGTCTCGAATTTCTGACTAGCGCTCATGTCCCCCTACCCCTTTATCTTGTCCCCAACCCATACTCTGGGAGCTGCATCTGGGCACCTATCCACCAGCACCTCCCAACCCCGCAACCCAGCCGCCGAGCTCCAAGCAGCGCTAGTCAGCGCTTGTTGGCAAAGTGCCAAGTGCCGACAGTGACGCCGCAAAACAGTGTTGGCGGGGAAGCCAGAGTGTTTTTACAATTCCGGCTGAGCCGAGGTTAGTAATTGCCCAAAATGCTTGTTGCACTGGCAAAAGCAATAAAACAAAGGATGCAGTTTACCACGAAAAGAAATCAAATACGCACTGTTTTGCCAGTAACTGTGTTCCCACCGGATTTAAGCAATGCCTGAGTCCGGCTACTAGCTTACCACTGATTTTTCTAGCCAAATATTCCGAAAAATTGTTGTGGTTATATCAATACTTTGTCGGTTGCAACAGCTCCAGCCGTCAGTCACCAGCCTCCACCTTCCAGCTAACTTAGTCAAGTAAGTTACACCAGTTTCGTCTCATACATTCACAGTAAACCTTATTTGGCCAATAAGGAAATAAAAGTATCAAGGCTGCGAAACTACGCCTGAAGTACTGTAACGACAGTTTTAGGACAGCGCTATGCTAATATGAAACTGTCATTACAGTACTTTAGTCCCATAAACTGTTCCGGTTTCATAAACTTCTGATTTGCTCTTTCCACTCCCTCTCTCATTCTTATCTCAAACTGCTTTTTGGTAAGTGAGTGTAGGGACTGTACAGCGAGTAAAAAGACTATATTCTGACCAGTCGCAAAAGAAAACAAAAAAAAAAAAAACCTTGAAAGGAGCAAATGCTCGATGCTGAGAACTTAGAAGAGCATCTTCTATGATTTCCACATCCATGTCGTCCACGAGCGACTTCTGGACGAAAAGTTCATAAATACGACGAACAAAGCGCTGACTTGTCATTGCAGAGATCAGTTACTGCCTGGATGTTTCAGCCAACTTTGAAATGGTAAGGACAACAAATTCACCAATTCCGCGTTACGCAGGTCCATCATTTTTCATCATGACGAAATGCTGCTTCTCAAAACCGCCTCACGACAGTGTAAACCCAATTCAGAGAAAAACAGCAATGGTTAGTAAGCAGTCTG